CTGCTAATAATCGTATAGATATGCGCTAGTCAAGGAGGCTCTCAGAGAGCGGAAGTATTTCTTGAACACAGCTCCCCATCTGTCATCTTGGCTGCCAATCATGGTGCCTGTTCAGAAATGGTGGCAGGCTCCCTATTTCTGGGTCGGCACCAAGGCCTATGACTTCTTGGCTGGTTCCGAGGGCATTGAGACTTCGTACTTCCTAACCAAGAGTAAGGCCATTGATGCATTTCCCATGTTGAAGCGTGACAGCATCGTTGGAGCAATGGTGTACTATGGTGAGTCGCGAACTTGGACTCTGCGAAGATGTGTTTTGGGCTAATTTCCGACAAGATGGTGCACACAACGACTCCCGCATGAACGTCTCGCTCGCCATGACTGCTGCGCTCTACGGTACCACAGTGGTCAACCACTTGGAGGTCACCGGACTGAACAAGGATGCATCCGGCAAGTTGTGCGGTGCGCGCGCCAAGGACATCGTCACAGAAAAGGATGGCCAGGTCGCCAAGGAGTTCAACATTCGTGCCAAGGGTATCATCAACGCCACTGGTCCCTTCTCTGATTCCATTCGCAAGATGGATGAGCCCAATGTCAAGGAGATTGTGGCCCCCAGTGCTGGTGTCCATATCATCCTGCCTGGTTACTTCAGCCCCTCAAACATGGGTCTGATTGACCCTTCCACCTCGGATGGACGTGTCATCTTCTTCCTGCCGTGGCAGGGTAACACCATCGCTGGTACTACTGACCAGCCCTGTGAGATTGAGGCCCAGCCCCAGCCCACTGAGAAGGACATCAACTGGATTCTTTCGGAGATTCGTGGCTACATCGCCTCAGATATCACCGTGGACCGAAGCGACGTCCTTGCTGCTTGGTCTGGTATTCGTCCCTTGGTGCGCGATCCTAAGGTGAAGAACTCGGAGGCTCTCGTCCGCAACCACCTGGTGACCGTCTCGCAGTCTGGACTATTGACTTGCGCCGGTGGTAAGTGGACTACTTACCGCCAGATGGCTGAGGAGGCTGTAGATGAGGCGGTCAAGGTATTCAAGCTTAAGCCCCGTCAGCTTACCACACTTCCCGACATCAGTGGTGTCGGCGGAAGTGGACTGGTTGCTGACGGTGCCGTTCTCGACGGTAGCTGCCAGACGCATCAGGTGCGCCTCATCGGTGCCCACGGTTTCTCCAAGACCCTCTTCATCAACCTTATTCAGCACTTCGGTCTTGAGACCGACGTGGCCAAGCACCTTACCGAGTCATACGGTGACCGCTCATGGCAGGTTGCTGCCTTGTCTTCCCCTACTAGCGAACGTTTCCCCGTGCGCGGCTGCCGGATCTCCCCAATGTACCCCTTCATTGATGGCGAGGTCCGCTACGCCGTCCGTCATGAGTATGCCCAGACCGCGGTCGATGTGATTGCCCGTCGCACCCGTCTGGCTTTCCTGAACGCCGAAGCCGCCCTTGAATCCCTCCCCACTGTGATTGATATGATGGCAGAGGAATTGAAATGGACCACCGCTCGCAAAGATCTCGAGTGGAAGGATTCCTTGACTTACCTTTCGTCCATGGGTCTGCCCAAGAGCTTCATGGGCCTTTCGCGTCATGATGTTCAGAACGGCCGTGTTACGCAGGTTGACGACGCCGAGCGTGCGACTTTCTCTCGTGATGGTATGTTTTAATTTTCAACCCAATTCAAAGAACCACGGTGCTGACCATCCCCAGAACCTCCTGCAGACATGATTGAGAGTGACGTGCGTGCTACCATTGCAGCTCCTGCAGCAACACCTTCGCTCAATTAGATGACTTGTGGTAAATGTAGACCGGGCTTGTATAAATAGAAGCGTTCTTTTTTTGGGTTCCAAATTTGATTGCTTGTCCTTGGCGCCCTTTAAAAGAGACGTTGGGAAAAGACCCCAAGACCCTGAAATGACGCTTTCCAAAGGACACCCATTCACATTCGGAAAGTGCCACACCCGAACTTGCTAGTAGTTTCAGCTTCTTCAACTTCTTCAACCTCCTTAGTCTCCTCAACCTCTTCAATTTCAGTGCATTGTATCAACATTCGCACATAATGAAGCCCAATCAGTCTGATGTTGACCTCCAATCGCTGAGCTTTGTGAAGCCCAAGTTGCATTTGGACAAAGAGTCTGTCTTACCAAAGCCAGAGTTGGCGGAACAGGATCCCTTTGGCGATGAAAGCCAAGCTGGCGTGAAGTACAAGACCATGGTCTGGTGGTGAGTGTTTCCTTTTTCGATAGACAGGGCAAAGCTCATCCTTTCAACAGGCAAGCCGGCATGAGTGAGTCTATGTCTTGCATACTGCTCAGCTTTCTCTAACGTACCTGGTCAGTTATGATCGCAGAAACTATCTCGCTTGGTATTCTCGCGCTGCCCAAAGCGCTTGCAGTACTAGGTCTTATTCCGTACATTCTCCTCCCCCGTTGACTGCAAAGGCTGAGCTAACCTGTTTGTTCAGCGGTGTCCTAGCCATCCTTGGGGCTGGGATAATCTCGACATATACTGCATATACCATTGGGCAATTCAAATGTCGCCATGTCCAAGTGCACAGCATGGCCGATGCTGGTGAACTTCTGATGGGAAGGACCGGACGGACTACATTGGATGTGGCCCAGCTCATCTTTTTCGTGTTGGTGATGGGGAGCCATGTCCTCACTTTTTCGATCATGATGAATGTCCTCACTGAACATTCCACTTGCACCATCATCTTTTCGGTTGTCGGTTTACTCGCATCGTTCTTGCTGACCCTTCCACGGCGACTTGAGAGACTTTCTCACATCTCCTCCTTGAGCTTTGTGAGTATCGTGGGAGCAGTACTCACTGGTATGATTGGGGTCACCCTTGTCAAACAAGGACCAGTGCATGTCCCGGCCTTTTCGCCTTCGCCCAAATTACATGATGCGTGCCTTGCTATTGCAAATATCATTTTTGCGTACGCAGGACATGTTGCATTTTTTACCCTTTTCTCTGAGCTCAAGGAGCTCCATGACTTTCCCAAAGCCCTGGCGCTTCTGCAGATGAGTGAAATGATCTTGTATACTGTGTCTGCCATTGTGATATATGCCTATGTTGGGCCGACTGTCAGCTCACCTGCTCTCAATTCTGCAGGACACCTGTTTCGTAAGATCTCTTACGCAATCGCAATACCAACGGTGCGTACCTTTTCCTCGTGGACCTCTTCAAATATGAGCTAATCACTGGATAGATTGTGATCGGGGGTGTGGTGAACGCCCACGTTGCCGTCAAATTCATTTACGTTCGTGTCTTCCGGGGAACCAATTCGATGCATAGCCAGTCATTCATGGCACGGTTGGCGTGGGCTGCAATAAGTGCGGCGCTTTGGATCTCATCTTGGATCATCACCGAGGGAATACCGGTTTTCAATGATGTACTAGGGCTTGCGGTGTGTACTACCTATCTGACTCTGGCCCTGACCCAACCTCGGAACGAGCACTGATTATTCATACTAGAGCTCCTTATTTGCCAGTTGGTTTTCATTTGGTCTACCTGGGCTATTTTGGCTCTATTTGAACCGGAATTGTTGGTTTTTGACCTGGCGTCAGAGGGTGTTATTTGGCTTCAATATCTTTCTGGTGTTTCTTGGATTTCTCATTGTGAGTTACATTCCTTTGTGATTGCCCAGATCGAGTTAACTTACGCCACCAGTGCATTGTCGGGTTGTATTCGTCCATTCGGTCGATCTTTCACAACCTTCGCGAAAGTGTTGGGGGAGGCAGCTTCTCATGTGCTGACAACTCCCTCTACTGAGGGAAACTCAGAGCCACCGAAGTTTTGATTTGGGGGGGGATGGTTACTTACCCTTGGGTGACAGCATTAGCACGGTTGCAGGTACGAGGAACATGAGACGCAGAGAACTATCCAGCTGCATTGTATGTGAATCAATTGAGTTCTCTTGCACAGTCTTCACGGATGTAGGCGACCACGTAAGTAGCCGAGACTCTGCAGCTGCTGTTCAAGGGCCGAGTGGACATGTGCCGGACATCACAAGGGATCCTTGTCCTGGAGCAAAGTGTACTTTCAGGAATTGCAGGGAAGACAAATTACACCTTTCTGAACAAGGTTGATTGGCGTGGAGAAATAATAGGATGAGACTTCCGCCTCATGCAATTGTCCTATTAGGAGGATCAGGTCATGCCCTGAAGTTAGGCGAGATAGTTGTGACCACGTCGGGTTCCTGTGTTACCTCGGGCAGTTGGCATCACGTGATTGAGTTTACATCATCTGGGTTCATGTTCCAACACTGAACTATATATATAAACTATAAATATAAAATACATGTATCTATGTATATGTACATACACATATGCGTATATACGGCGATTCTATCGACCGACACAAGTCCTCGTGGCCAGGTTAGATCGAGGCCATTTAAAGCTTTTTTTTATAGCAAAAAGCGAGCGTTGACGACTAAGATAGGGGAGGGGGAATAGTAAAGAAAGCCCAAAATTGCCAGACATTATTATGTATGTGGATAATGCTACATAATAAGACACTAACAGTACGTGGCTCATACCGGCGCACTAATGAATGACTCGCAGCCGGGTAAACCCCCTGGGCACTAGTGGCCTCGGGGAATTGGCTACAACTACTCCGTGTGCTCCGTATGAAGGTCATATACCCGTTAATAGCACCATATCGGACTAAATGAATATGCTAATATGGTATCTAGACTGGATGAATATCGAGAAGTGAAATACAAGAAAAAGAGAAGAAAAGAAAGAACGAAATCGAAACAGACACAGAAATAGACACAATAATTTAATCCCAAAAAAAGTCAAAGAAGCGGGGATATAAAGCAAACCCCGTGGTCCAAGTCCATCATGATAGCTACATATGTACTAGGAGCGATAAGTGAATTATAGCACCAATTCTGTGAATTCTCAAATTATATTGGGTTCCCCTCTTTTTTTGCGTAGAAGCCCGACGCATGTATTGTGTCCCAATCAAGACAGGGATCAAGGCCAGCCAACTCTTCTTCCCTGTACACCAAAAGCAAAAGGGTGTAGAGGAAAAGTGGAAATAACAGCAAGACATGCCGTCATCACACCGCTTTCTCTAGAACTGGAGAGAAGGGTGTGTAACCAGGAAAACCCAGTACTTGGATTTGTTGGATTTGCTGTGTATTCAAGCCACTTGGATTCCCAATCCCAATGACCTCCCCAAGGCAAATTCGGACCCCATCACTTTTTGCCTTGCACGGGACTGTAGAACAGCCGTGTTGATCTTTGCGCGGATTTCACATGGGAAGGAAATGGAGGATTTCCGGGTGGGATCTGACTCTAGTTTTGGCTCTGGTCTCTGATCGGTTCGAAGCTGGAGCGGTGTCATAGGATACTAGTATCAGCACCAAAACCAGCACCAGCATCAGAACTATGTGCAGGTAGAATAATATGGGAGGATATCAATGGGCCTCTTGATACTGGACACTGGGCACATTCGAATCTCCACCCGGTCCCTGGACCGCAAAAGTTCCAAAGACATCATGCGGGATCCCACCAGAAAAGAGAATGGAAGACCCTCTCGACTAGTGCAAACGTTGTGTACCGATAAGCAGACAATTCCAGCGTAGCTAGTTGGCTACACCATCGCAATTCGTGGTTCCTTGGTAATTGTTCCAGAAACGGGCCACGGCTCTCTGGGCCACGGGCGAGCCGCGGTAGCGCGTAGTGAGGAAGTAATTGAACAGAGCGAACTCGTCTGGCGTGAGCACATAGCTATCTGGTTGGGCCTGGATGCGATTCCAGAGTTCGGTAATAGCCGCCTCCAGGACGGCGGCGGATTGGGTATTCATGGGGCCATATTCGCATTCCCGAGCGTGTTCTAGGGCCTGTCGAATCTCCGGCCAGCTTCTAGATAGAGGAAGGTTGGGCATCTCGTTGAAGAGGGAGGATGCTTAGGTGTTCAGCTGTGATGGGTTGTGTTTGAGAGTTGTAAGAGAGTTTTCAAGATCGATCGTTTTTTTTTGGGAGGGGGGAGGAGGAGGGGGGGGGGAAACTTGGGGGAGAAAAGGGACGATGTGCGTCGCGAGGGCTCGACACAAGCGAAATGCGTTTCAGGCCAAGTAGAATGCGGAAGATGAGACTGCACAAGACCAAACTAGAAAATGCGAATCTTTTTTTTCTCAAAAAATTAAATGGGAACAGGTGTGGAGCAACGGGAGAGGGGGAGGGGGAAAAACCGGGCCAGTAGTTCCGAAATGCGATGTTCATAAGTGTGACATGCGATAGAAAGGCAAATGCAGAAGGAATTAGTTGACCTCAAGGCTGTGGGACGAGGTTCAGAAACACATCGGACTTCATTCCGAAATTGGAGTCAACAAATGAGTAGTCCCAAGGAAGTACTCCCGTATATCTCCCCTTTCTCCAAAAGAGACTTCAAATGGGACCATCGGCGAGACACCTGGAAAGACACATAATCCA